GAGAACAAACTTGATGAACCTATCTTATGGTCCACGACTCCTGAATCTATTATTCAAGTGCCTGACTTGCATTTATTTTTAGATGGAGGGCAGCAAGGATTTACCTTTTTGGGGCCAGATTTGTAATATGCGAAGCATTGGAAGGGATTTTCGTAAAACAATGGAAGTGCTCTAGTTGTTTCTCAGTGAAATTTGGAGGTTCAAAAGGCCCTGTGTGCTCTCTAATATGAGTTTTTAGAAGCTTATTGGTAACTCGTAGGTCATGGTTGCTAGTTTTCCATGTATTTTCAATTATGTTCCCTCAAATGACAAAGCTTATTGATATGATCACACCACAAAGCTCATCCTTATCATCATTATTTCTAACCTGGTTTGAGGTTTGGCTGCAACATCAGTAAACACTTGGGGAGTTGGATAATCCATCTCTATGAACAGACTTTTTCCCCCTCTCCTACTGACAGCTTCACATGGTTTTCTAGACTGATTTCTAGGCATGATAAAACAGGATGAAAAAGGTCAGCAATGAAACCTAACAATTGGGAAGAAACAACAGCCAAAGTAGGATGAAGAAAGACCAGCAATGAAGGCTGGAATACTAGCAATGAATGCTAACAATTGAGAAGGAATGGCAATCCTACCTTGATAGAACTCTGCTACCATGATGAGAAATAGAATGATTTTCCTTGTGTTGAATCAAACTGATTCAGTTTAGGAAAGAATCATAAATATAGGTCAATGATCCTATTACATTCCCTTCCGATTTATGCAAGTTGTAACATTCTGAGGCATATTCATATCTTCAACAATTAATGAATTCGTAGAGATTAAACGAGATCAAGAGAATCTTCCTGTACAGACTCGCGAAGAGAGAAAGATTTTAAAAAGCATATTGTCAAGCTTACTGTTGCTCGAGTTATGCCAGGTAAACAGTTATCCGCATTAGGTGTCACTATACAGCCTTTTTTCACTAAAAACTGCAATATAAGAGGATAAAAGAGCTTTAGGTTTCAAAAGAACATCAAATACAGCTGATTCCAACATAACCGTGAAAACCTGAGGAACACTCTTCTCTGAAATGGTGAAATAGAACATATTATAATCTAGGACATCTGGATTTACAGCCCACTAAGAACAAATAATATTATCACAGTAGCCAGTAATGAACTTACAATATTTGTAGCATTTGTTTCTGACACATAACCGTCTTTATCGAGCATGATGGCATCATCAGCTTGGGCGTTATTCCCTTCTATCTGCACAAACTCCAACAATTCTGAGCAAAATCATAATGAAAATACCTACATATCACACTTCATTGAGCATTAACAGCATAAAAAAACAACAGCTCCCTCCTCAAATTGTAATATAGATCTAATTAATTCTCCTGTGAAGTATTATACTATGATTCTAGGGAAGTAATCAAATTTAAGTTGCTTGAGCCCCTGCAGATCATACCTTGGCCAGGATGTTGTTGAGGAGGTTGTTGTGATGAATTTTAGAATCCAAATTCTAGCAAAGCAAACAAAGTTCAAAGTAAAAGTGATTTGACATTCCGATATTAACGCAGAAAACAAAATTTTATATACAAAACCCCTCTGTAAGAGTTTAAACTTTTAGATGAAGTTGTTTGATGGTATTGGAGCACACAATGGTCACATTCAAGTTTCACTGCCACTCAATTAAATTTGTGCATTGGCAGGATTTTGACGTAAAAGCGAAACTCGGTTGGAAACACTTAAAGAAAAAATTAGTTTAGTCAACTTCGCACCATTCTAACTGTGTAATCTTGGAGACGAGGTTCAACAACTATTGTTAGAAAAACTGAGGTATTAAATATGACATTGTTAGGTCAAAAAAGAGTTTCAACTCATGGGATGTACGTAAAATATTTAACTATCATACTATGGAAGAAATATGATAGGCCACCCATACGTTTTACGTATGAGAGGCGTAACAAGAAGGGGGCTGACTAGGATTTGTTGTTAAAGGGTTGTTTGGGGGAAAGGAGTTAGTTGGCAGCTGTCACGTGGGGGGTTAGAATAAAAGGGGGGAAACAGTAAATAAATGGGTATTCACGGGATAGAGAAACTGTGAATCTCTTGGGAGAGGGGCAGCTCTCTAAACCTGCCATTTTCATTTCCATTTTGCATTTACCGTCATTTGTTCTTGTAANACGAATCTTCTACTTCTCGTTATTAAATTAGGGCTAATATCATAGGTTGTTGGAGCAGGTTCTATCATTTGGTATCAGAGACGTCGATTCTGGGTAGGCTATGCCAGTTACGAGAATGGATAATCGAATTGAAACTCTCGAAACTTCGATAGCTCAAATTCCGACATTGGGCGCATCAGTGGTGGGGTTACAAGGTCACGTAGAACAACTGAATGCGAAGTTGGGGATGAAACTGGAGAAGATGAATGAGAAATTAGAACTGAGTTTGACGATAGGTCGAAGGGAGCTGAATGATGGTCTACAGACAATGGCGAAGATGATGAAAAGTCAGTCAATAGACCCGCAGCCCATGGTCGGCGAAGGGAGTGGAATCCGATCTTCGATTCCTGTGGATGAGCAAATTGAATCTGAAAAGATGAGCAAGGAGAAGCAGAAATTAGACATTGGGGAGGGACACTACCGCAAGCTTGAACTGCCCCTGTTCAATGGGACTGATCCAGATTCGTGGATTTTCAGAGCCGAAAGGTATTTTTGCATGAATAAGCTGAATGATGCCGAATGGGCTTGGGCAGCTGGGGTATGTATGGAGGGCAGTGCTCTTTCATGGTTCCGGTGGGAGGATGGGAGACAGCCTATGCGAAGCTGGAGGGACTTAAAACATCGTCTGTTGGAAAGGTTCAGAGACACCCAGTATGGCACTTTACACCAGCGATTTTTGGCAATCAGACAAACAGGGACTGTAGCAGAATTCAGGGAGAAATTTGAGATTATGGCATCACCGCTTCAAAATGTGACTGAGGAGACCTTGGAAGGGGTTTTTATCAATGGGTTGGATGAAGATCTGCAGGCAGAGGTGTTGATGGCTAATCCGAAAGGGTTGTCTCAAATCATGGATATGGCACAACGGATCGAGGACAGAAATGTGCGAATTAGTAAGACTCGGGAGCGTCCACGTTACAGAAGTTCTACCTATAACCCCCCTGTTCAGACAGAGAATAGAACCATGCCTTGGAATCCTCCTCGAGGGAATGTTCCGTTGGAGAAGACGGGAACACTCTCTACACATTCAACTTCAGGATTTAAGAAGTTATCACGGGCAGAAATACAAGCCAGGAAGGAAAAGGGGTTGTGTTTTAAATGTGATGAGAAATACACTATCGCGCATAAGTGTCGTAACAAGGAATTGCATGTGTTGCTTGTTGATGAGGACATTGAGGTGAGCGATGAGGAAGAAGCATTCGAGGAAAAATTAGATAGAACAGATTTAGATGGAGTGGAGTTGTCAATGAATTCGGTGATCGGTTTGACATCACCTAAAACGATGATCCATTTCCCATGCTAATCACCTGTTGAGACTGTAGATCTGAAGAAGATAAAGAGGTACAGAGGAAAGAACAAATTTCAAGAGTAATCCGATCCCCAAAAATGATAAACAAAGGGCCCATGCAGATATCCTACTCCTGAACTTCTGAATGAGTTCGTCATATATGAAAATTCATTTAGCCCTTGTAGAGCGAACCTCAAGATAGGTAAAAGGTTGCTGCTGGTTTCTAAAGCCAGTCAGGTGTTCTAATCTCTTGATCTAGCTAATGGAAGCCTTCTGAGGTAGAATAAGACCACTTATCTTAATTCACCAACTGACCAAAGACGCCCTCGTAATAGACCAAGCAATCAAGAAGCCTCACGATAGATTATTTGTCTATAATCAAGTCATCGGATATGCATCTCCTGATCCTATCAATCCATAGCCGATCAAATCCAAATTCATTAAGAATGGAATAAAGGAAACTCTAATCTATGCGATCATATGCTTTAGTCATATGACATATCAAGATTCAGCAAAGTATTGCCTCCTCTAACTTTGGTATTCAGGGTATGGAGAAGCTCCTGACCCAATAAAATATTGTCTCCAATTAGGCGGCCAGAAATGAGCCACTCTGCTGAGAAGAGGCAGTATAGTACTTAGCCAATTATTTAAAATCTTGGTGA